TATTTAATGAATATGCTTTTCGAACTAGTGTTTCGATTCGTACTGCTATTTGCTTGATGGTTTCGTTTGGTAATCTGCGAATTTCATTACATAAAACTCTTTGTTGTTGTTTGTTTCTTTCGGAGTCAAACATTTTTGAAAATTCTTGTGTAAATCTTTTCCAGTTTGATTTTATTTCTAGAGGTAATACTGAAAACCATTTTTGGGCTGCGCCATCTAAGGTTGTTTGTATTAACGCTGTGCGTCGATGTATCCAATTTTGATGTAGTGGCGTATTAATTGGTTCAGGTCCAATATTTAAAATCAGGTTTGCTGTTACTGCATTTAAATAATCTTCTACAGAGTATTCAGGGTCTGTTCCTGTGAAAACCATTAAAGGTTTGTTTGATGTTATTGATGATCCACCCATAAGGTATGGATTCATTGTCATTTGTAATGATTCTGCTGCATTTGGCATTTGAGAAAAATTTGAAAGTTGGTTTCTTGTTATTTCATGTTGTTGGAGATAATATGGGAGTGGTATTTCATTTTGCATTTGTGATGCTTGATACGAGTGTGCAGTCATTGGATTTTGTTGTTGAATTGGTTGAAAAGATTGTGTATTAATTAGATTTTGTTGTTGAATTGGTTGTTGATGTTGTGCATCTATTTGTTGTGGAGAAAAATTTCTATGATTTGTACGTGTTCTCTGTATTCCTTGTTTACGATATTCTTGAGTATTTGGTGCAAATATATCTGGTTGTAAGAAATCATCATCTGAGGATAAATAATCCATTTGATAAGATGTCTGTTTTTTATTTTTATTTTGTTGAAAAAATGGGTAATTTTCACTGTGATCCTGTGGAGGATTTGTTTGGAAATTTATTGAATTAGGTTGGGTCATTGGGTTATCCCAATTTCGAGATCTTGTATATTGGTTAAAATTTCTTTGTGGTTGGTTATATGTTTTTGATGAATGTGTATAATTATAATTATGGTCTGCAAATTTGTTTCTAGTGAATGTTTTGCGTGTTTTTGATGGTATTGTCATGGGTCTGTATGTTTGGTAATCCATATGTGAATATTTAGGGGCAACCGAAGGTTTAACGGTTGATTGTAAGGTTACCTGTGTTTGTGAAGGATTTGTATTTCTTGGTGTTGTTAAATTTGGGCGTATTGGTGAAATACTTTGTTGTGTAGTTGTTGTGTGTACAATTTCTTCATTTATGAAGTGTGATGGTGTCTGGATATCTTGTTGAGTAAGATTCCTAGTTCCATTGAGGTTTTCATTGTGTATGACTGTAGAGTTTAAACTATTATTTTGTGTATCGGGCAAAAATGTATTATAGTTTAATGGTGTTGCATCAATGGTTAATGGTATTACTTTTACATAATCTCTAATGTAAGATATCGTACTTATTGCTTGACTTGAGATTGATTGTGGGAAGCTTATAAATGCGGGATGAGACCATTCGGGGTCCCAAACATAATCTGATTGTTCTGTGATAGCGGTATCATCGTTCGAGTTTTGGGGTCTAAAATTTTTTCTTGCTTGTGCAATTAAATCGATATTGTGTGTGAAATAATCTATGATGAACCATGCCAAAATTTTTTGTAGATCGTGTTTTGTATGTTGTGAAACGTCGTCTTTCGTGAAATTTTCTTTAATGATGTTTAAATAACTAGAGAGTAGTGTGATTTCATGTCGTACTTTCAAATGTTTAGATGTTTCTGTCGGTGAGACATTTGTTATTGGGATTTCGTTTTCTAATATCGAAATATAACTATATATTATTGCGAAAACTTCATTGGTGAATATGGAGTTTGCTCTTTGTGAGTTATGATATTGGATGCTTTTTATATATTCTGAAAAAACTTTTGAAAATTCTAAATCAAGATCGTCTGTTTGAATTGTATATTTTCTATTATTATGGTTTGGTGAGGTGAATTCTATGGAGTAGATTCCATACTGTTGTGTTATGTTGCATATATCTTTTAAGTAGTGGTCTATGATTTGTCTTTTGATTTTTACATCTGGGAACTCTGTTTTACATGGACTGATTCCGGGTTCAAATAAATTTAATAGTAAATTTTTGCAAAATATATGCTGTCCTCTATCAGTGGTTGCATCTACTATAAAAGGAAAGATTTCATCATCATCTGGGGTTTCGTCACCTGGGGTGTGCGTTGAGCTCATTTTTTCGTTCGATGACTGTTAATATGTAATTATTAATGTGTCGAATTGGTTGATTCCAATTGTATAAATGTACTGGTTTGTGTTTATACTGCTTTTTTATTCTTCTTTTTCCTCTTTTTGATGAATTTGAAGTTGTTTCTGAGTCAGAAAAATATAATTGATCGTGAAGTGGGCAATTTTTATTTATTGATTCTTTTAGTTTGTAAAGTTCGTCTAAACTGTTGGTTTCTGATTCTGAAAATGCGTTTCGATTTTTTGAAAATCTTTTTCGTGTTATTTGTCTTTGTTTCGTTATTATTTTTCTTTTTAGTGTTTGTCGTTTTGTTCGAATGTATCCAACTGTTTGTGTATGAGGTGTGATTACAAGGTCGTATTTTTTGTTATCTATTTCACAATTGTGTAAAACGATTGTTTGTTTATTTCCTAGGTTTTTAAATGACATAAGGTTTAGGATGACGGATGCAAAAGGTTGTTAAATGATTTCTATTTTCCTAAACTGTTAGTTCTTACGATTTTTTGGTTAGCTTAACCTGGGTCTATTTGTTCAGGGTTGGAGAGAAAAGTATATCGATTCCGAAGAATGATTTTTTACTTTCTCGTGGCTAGTATAAGTTAAGGTGTTAACTTACTTAATCTTACTTAGGGGTAGTGATTGTGTTCAAGGGTTGGAGAATAGTAAATCGATCCACAAGGTTCAGGTATAATTAGAACGCGAGTAGTTCGTTAGATACTATTTTAAACTTACTAAGTCTAAGATTTATCCTGGGTCTGTTAAGAGGGGGGGTCAAGTGAAGGATGAATAACCGAAGTTCTTCACTGTTTATCCTAATTTGAATGATTAGTTTTGTTTAAAAATTTCTATTAGTCTTAGGTCTTTAGAAAGGGTTGGGTAGTGAATCGACGTTTGAGGTCGTTAGACACTAATTAAGTGGGTGGGGGAGAACAAAGTTGTTCTGTTTGATCCAAGGATAAGCCTTGATGATCAAATTTGAAATTTAATTAAGTAGAAAATGATTTAAGATCCAAGGATAAGCCTTGATGATCTGGTTTTAAAATTAAGTGAACTTAAGTTTTAATAAAATTTTAAATGTGTGTAAAGGAAAGATTTAGTGTTTTGATGATATTAGTGGGTTTATGATTGCTGTTATGTTTTAGGTGATGGAGCTGGAACAACAGGATGATTTATGATTACTAACCATTTATTGTCATGCTACTAATTTTTATTTTTTATTTTTCAATAAATATTTTTCAAACATGTTTTGTATATTACTGCAGAGTTTTAGGAAAACGATCTTAGATCTTTTTATCAATCGTTATTGTATATTAATAATTTTGTTTAGCGCCTGAAATGATTTTGAAGATTAACTTCAAGGTTTTATGTTTGCAAATGAAAATCTAAATTCATTGCCAGTAGTATTCTAAATATAAAAGTTTGTTCTGGTTTTTGCTTAACTATCATATAGCTATATGGCAAGTTTCTACTTTGTCGTATGTCGTCTCTGGTTCGAGGTCTTCTTCCAATTCCGGGTAGTTCTGTTATGGTTCGGAATATTGGCTCTGATCTATTGAGTCGTAGAGACATTTCGATTAAATTATTGTCGTATAACATTTTGTAAATGTTTTTGTCTAATTTCTAATCTATTTTGTTTAATTCTAAGCTATTAAGGTCTTGTTCGAGACTTATGGTCGCACCAGATGAGTTAGGACCGAGTTGGTTAACTCATAGAGTAATTTCGGATAGGGTACACCGTCTGCTCGTCACGCTATCTTATTTTCGGCCGGATAGATTCGTGCAACTTCTTAGTCTAATACCGATCCTAATCTTACTCTTATACTATCTAGTCTCAGGTTGTTTAACTAGTCTCTGCTAGGCTCAATAGATCTAGGGTATACTGGTTTATTGCGGCTGCTGAAGTGCTCGGGAGAGTCCAACTAATTTCTAAGTTAAATTCAAATCTCTCTGGTGCTGAAATTACAAGTAACTTCAGCACTTACAAATAAGTGGGTTGTTAGTTAGATGGATCATGATTGGTTAATATTAAATACTTTAAATTGGTAAAATATCTAAATTATCCAATCATAAAATGTAGTCTAGATCAGGTTCCATATTATTAAGAAAAAAAATGATACAAAAAATCTTTTTGTGCCGTTATTTTGTCAATTATTCACCCTAAAAACTTTTTAATTAGCCTTAAAGTTCAGTCAGAACATTAACTGCCTCGCCCTGATATACGAGCAGTCTTGTTTTTTCTCTAACTAGTTGAAAAGTTTTTGTCTATTTGAATATTTAAACACGTGAAAGGACGCAAAACATACTTTTTTCTTCAAAGTGTTTGTAATGAAGATTTCTATAAAAAATTTCAGTTTTTTAACTGTTTTTTTTTCGTTTATCAAATTTGTTTCGACATAAAGGCAAAATTGATAGGCACTAAACTCAATCGGTTAATTTAGAGCTTTACTTTGTTGCGATTAGTGTTGTTCGTCTTCTATGTTTGGCTTAAAATTCATCTTTGTCCTTTATTTTTTTAAGCAGTAGTCTGCAATTAGAAATCAAAAAATTTTGTGGCTTATTGCGCCCCTCTTAATTTCGCACAATTCGACCTAACCCATTTCGCCCCAAACGTATTAAACAATTAATTAATTCCCGCTTTCTTAATTGGCGATTTGAGGGCGAACTGTATGGGGGCGTAAGGAGCTAATAATTTCATGGTGGGTAAAATTTGCCAATAATTTTTTTATGGGGGGGGGGGGGACGTTGAGGGTGAAATGTGTGAATGCCACCGGTGTTTATATTTAAGACAACGTAGAAGATGTTTATGTTCAGATCAAAGACCGGTTGGAGTCTTGGGGGTACAAAACCTGGATTGACGACAACCAGATGGGGGACAATGTGATGTTGTCGATGGCCGAGGGGGTGTTTAATTCGGACGCAGTGCTCATATGTCTCACCGACAACTACCAGAACTCATTCAACTGTCAGCGAGAAGCGAGCATGACTTTCGACGAACGGAAGCCGATGATACCTCTGAAACTAGAGGGGGATGTTGAATGGAAACCTTGGGTGAAATTACTCATTTCTGGAAAGAGATATATCGAAATGGAAAGATCGCCGTCCTTTGATGATTTCATGCAAGAGTTGAAAACTTATCTGGAACGAATGGAGGAGCTGAAAAAGTAAAACTGGAAACCTGGACCGAAAATTAAAACTATTTTATATATCGCAAAGCTGATTAACTAAAAAGTGTTTATGGCCATCAAAACAGTCGTATAAAAATGGCCGTATGCTTTCAAGGTGCTCAATACATAAAATCAGAATGGAGGTCATTTTTTAGAAGCAGCAGACCATTCAAAAATTTAATCAAAAACTAAATCAAATGTTTCATCAATGACAGATTAAAAGTATGTTATGTAGATTTAAATAGACAACAAGAATTGGCTCAAATAAACCATTTCTGGAGAATGATGTCGTTTCTATAGGAACTTAACAAGAAAATTGATGAAAATTGTAACGGTATGAGTCATCCCAAACTATCGTTAACCTGTTTTATGTAGGATCGATGAACACTTTCGGCAAAACAAGAAGTCGAATTTACCTAGCTTTCGGCAATTTAGTTGCATGCACTATGGTGAAATTAATGAGTAGTACCTACTATTAGGATTGTTTAATCAAGACGATAAGTAGAAAGGAACATAAGTGGCCGAGTCCAAAATAGTTCCAATCTTCGAGATTTAGTCCCACCCTTATGGGAGATTTAGCCAAAGTTATGAGTGGGTAACAGAAAATGATAACACCCCTCCCCATAAATGGGAACTAACGAAGCTATCTAAATGAAACTCGACATTACATATTAGAGATTAATTGACGCCGGCATGCAAAAATCCTCACCCCTCGGACCCTCCTGGCGAAAGTGATACCTGTTCCCGGAAATGCAAATCTCTTTATGAAAACTCCGTAATTAGTGGTTGGATTGGGACCAAAATTTAGTATGTTAGAGACCTAGTTGGGGGAAGCTTAAGTTCCGAACCGAAGAACCCCTGTATCCCTTTTTCCAGTGTTATAATCTAATTGATTAGTCCCCACCCGTCTTCCGAAGTCAATTCTTAGCCCCCAATTAACGCATGGAGCCAAAAATTTGAGTTAGGAAAGGAAGTTTTAAGATGTGTCATTTATTATAGTTTGAGCCAAGTTATTAGCATTTGGGAAAAACCTCCTTTAGAGCGAGAATAAATTGATTTTATAACAGCAATGGACACCAGACACTAACATCAAAGAAGGCCACGAATGAATGAAATCCCTCCAGGGACTACTTCCGGCGTTAATAGCCCTTTTAGAGAAAAAGTGATTCCTAATGGGAAAAAAAGGACTCGTAATGGGACGGATCTCTTAATGGGTTATATTAGGAAGTATAGATGGGATATGCATGGAACTTATTAGATAGGATACCCATAAAACTAAAATCCGAAATATGGAAGATTGAACCATGATCGCACCGATGTGACCTTCAAACAACTTTCCGGCGTTTTGGCCCTAAATTGCACGGTAAACCCAAAAATTCAGAAGTCAAGTAGCCTGTTCCCCAGCCATGACCCTTGGAAATATGAACTGCTCACCTTACGTGTAACTGGGAGGAAAATTACCCCTTGAGAAACATAGCAATAGATAAAAAAAATATATAGCTTTTGAGTTGCAATTTTGAAGTAGTAGATTTAATAAGAGTGATGAAACTAGGTAAACATTGTTTTGAACTTGCGTGTGGCAACTGGATTTTCAATAGCATGTAAAATAGACTGAAGATAACTATTCCAGGAGAAGACTGGCAGAAAAAGGAGTACGACATGGACTTATGTCTGCTAAATAAATAGAACCTGCATGATTTAAACATGCAATTATAAATCATAAGAATTTAGAACTGCAGACAAAAGGGTTACTCCGACATAATAGGGAAGACAAAGCAATCGTTTGCGACCTTTCGGAGTTATATTGATTTAGTCGCGCCGCTTAAGTCTTTTCTTAAGTCGCGCCGCTTTAGTCGTTTCTTAAGTCGCGCCACCGAAGTCTTTTCTTAAATCGCGCCGCTTAAGTCTTTTCTTAAGTCGCGCCGCCTAATTCTTTTCTTAATTCGCGCTGCTTAAGTCTTTTCTTAAATCGCGCCGCTTAAGTTTTTTCTTAAGTCGCGCCGCTGAAGTCTTTTCTTGATTCGCGCCGCTTAAGTCTTTTCTTGAAAAGACTTAAGCGGCGCGGCACGACTTAAGAAAAGACTCATGCGGCGTGACTTAAGAAAAGACTTAAGCCGCGCGACTTAAGAAAAGACTTAAGCGGCGCGACTTAAAAAAAAAGACTTGAGCGGCGCGACTTAAGAAAATACTTAAGCGGCGCGACTTAAGAAAAAACTTAAGCGGCGCGACTTAAGAAAAGACTGACGGCGCGACTTAAGAAAAAATTTAAGCGGCCCGACTTAAGAAAAAACTGACGGCGCGATTTAAGAAAACACTTAAGCGGCGCGACTTAAGATAGGACCGACCGCGTGACTTAAGAAAATACTTTTGGTATTTTGCTCAATCGCGCATGTCAAGAGATGAAAAAAAATTGATGAGAAAATCTTACAAGAGGTCACAAATGAGGGTAAAACATTTTTTTTTACATCAGTCTTTTCTTAAGTCGCGCCGCTTTAGTCGTTTCTTAAGTCGCGCCACCGAAGACTTTCTTAAATCGCGCCGCTTAAGTCTTTTCTTAAGTCGCGCCGCCTAATTCTTTTCTTAATTCGCGCTGCTTAAGTCTTTTCTTAAATCGCGCCGCTTAAGTTTTTTCTTAAGTCGCGCCGCTGAAGTCTTTTCTTGATTCGCGCCGCTTAAGTCTTTTCTTGAAAAGACTTAAGCGGCGCGGCACGACTTAAGAAAAGACTCATGCGGCGTGACTTAAGAAAAGACTTAAGCCGCGCGACTTAAGAAAAGACTTAAGCGGCGCGACTTAAGAAAAAACTTAAGCGGCGCGACTTAAGAAAAGACTGACGGCGCGACTTAAGTCACAATTTAAGCGGCCCGACTTAAGAAAAAACTGACGGCGCGATTTAAGAAAAGACTTAAGCGGCGCGACTTAAGATAAGACCGACCGCGTGACTTAAGAAAATACTTTTGGTATTTTGCTCAATCGCGCATGTCAAGAGATGAAAAAAAATTGATGAGAAAATCTTACAAGAGGTCACAAATGAGGGTAAAACATTTTTTTTACATCTGTAAATAAAGTAAACCCATATTTCTAATTTTTTTTCCACCGAAATCCAAATCTAGAAATCTGTGTCAGCTCTGCTATTTTTGTCTTTTTGAACTCGAAGTAGCTTTCAAACTATAAACAGGTTAGAAGGTTGACGAATTTTTGTAAGTTTTAAGCTCAGATTTCTTACAGCCCGATGCTTTTTTTGTGACCACTTGCAAAGTTTTCGTTTCTTCATCAATTTTTGAATATGATGTGTCACATCAGAAAAATACAAATTAATTCGAATAATTCAAATATATCATCAAGTTTCTTTAAAAAGAAGAAGAAGTCGTGGACTATAAGTTAGATAAAAAAAGGTTTACGGCTGAGATTGAGAGGCGGGGAGGAGAATTTGGTCAGTGGCGGAATAACAGGCGGGTATCAACGAGAAAACTGCAATTGGATCAATAACAGCACGCTTCATCAGTTTCAGTTAAGGATAGCCAACTCATCTTTTCTGTTGAAGTTATCAAAACAAAACCGCCTGAAAATCGAACGTTCGTTGTATGAAAGTGAGTCCTTTTTGCCAATTTAAACGCTTCATTGCCTATGAAAATATTCAGAAATATTATTTAAAAAAAATGAAAAACGTTTAGAATTTTTTCTTTAAAAAATTGATCCATACTTGTTGTTTTTTATTCTTTTTTTGAGACAACTGTTGTCAATTATGCCTAATTAACTTATTTTCTACGCTTATGTACACTTTTCCCATCAAACCTCCTTTGAAACGGTGCTAATTTCAAGAGGAAAGAAAATTTTTGAACCAGGCTGTGCTTGCTACAATGTGAAAATTGATTGGAGCAAAAACCATCCTCAGCCCAAAATTTATATGGCTTTTTGGCATGTGGAAACAAATATCTAGCATCCTAATTTAGTTGCCAATTGCTAGCTTAATTACAAGTTTTCTTTCCAACGATAAGATGGTTTTGTTTTTCGCTCAGTGCGATTTTGTATAAAAATCAGTTGTAGGAAAAGATGAAAAAGAGTGAAATAGTATTTTTCTACAAGTTTTTTCCACTTTTGACGATTTAAGAAAGTATGTGCTCGACATATTTTCCACTTTTGACGATTTAAGAAAGTATTTTCCACTTTTGACGATTTAAGTGCTCGACATATTTTCCACTTTTGACGATTTAAGAAAGTTTTTTACACTTTTGACGATTTAAGAACTTTAAGAGTCTTGGTTGTTTGCCAAAAGATTATACCCAAGCAGTATGTGGTGTGTATGTGAGAATTTTTCCGACTATTGTTTTGTATTTTTGTTCAAATTTTTTTGGGTTTTTTACTTTGGTTGCTAATCCGAATGGTTTTTCGTGCCACTTGTTCTAAGCATTTTTTGATATTTTTATCAACCGTTCCTTGTACTCCCTTATATCTTACATTAAGTTTGTTTTTTGCTAGTTCTATAGATTTTGTATATGCACCTGTTTCTGGCTGTGGCGATGAGTGTTTGTTTTCGAGTGTCCCCGGTATTGGTTCATGCGAAACTTTTTGTTGTGTCTCTTTCTTGCTAATTTGTACTTCGTCCTCTGACCATCTTTCGAGGTCATGCATGATTTCTGCTGGTAGCGGCGGCTTTTCAAGGTTCTTTCGATCTAAACATGCATGTTTTGCATTTTCCCAGTTTAAGTTATTAGGTGAGCTATTTGTGGCTATTATTGATAATGGTGTGTTTGGTTTTCTACCCATATGTGCTTCAAAAGGAGAAATTTTTTTGACATCGTGCGCTGTAATTCTCAGCGTTTTGATTATTTCTGCGACATCCGAAGCTAATTTATATGGTGAATTTCTTTGATCTATTCTCATTACCGCTAATCTACGTTTAATTGTTTGGATCATCCGTTCAACAACCCCAATAGCTCTATGATCATCTACGGGCGCAAAAAGTAATTTTATATTGTTTGACCTGCAGAAAATTTGAAATTTTTTCGCTCGGAATGTTTGAGCTTGGTAACATCTTAATCTACGCGGTACCCTGTTATTAGAAATAAATCGTTGCATGAATTTGATTGCAATATCTGCTGTTGTGTTTGAAACAACTTTTGCTGTCGGGAACTTTGACCATTTATCTATTGCCACTAGAATGTATGCATCTCTATTTAGTTCGTCCGGTAGGGGCCCCGCAAAATCTAATTGTACTTCCGCATTAGGTTCGACCACCGGTTCCATTTGGAATGACAGATTTTTGCCTAGGATGGGTTTTAAAT